TATATATATATATATATATATATATATATGTATATATATATAGCCCGGATACTACACTCCATATACAGAAGTATTATATACATATGTATATATATATATATGTATATATATATATGTATATATATATGTATATATGCATACCAAAATGAGTTTATAAAGACCCAGTTGCTGCAGTGCTGTATATATAAAGAAAAGGTTTCTGACGGCACAGTGATGATAAAGTTGCAGCACTTTTTATTGCTTTGCTGCACCGTCTTTTGAACTGAAGATAATAAATATGTACTTTTATTGAAGTTAGCAGTAAAGATATCTGTAATTAAAACACTAGAAAGGTACAGCCTAAAGAGGTTAGATACAGCAAACAATACTTTTTTATCTATATCCTATAAAGCAGCAGTAAAGCCAGTATATAGCGGTGTACGTACAGCAGGCAAGCATTATGTTGTCCTAACACCAGCAGCAGCAGCAGCAGCAGCAGCATAAAGAATAAATAATAACCGCAGCAGAGCAGCTGCAAGACAACTCTGCTGCACCAGCAGCAACAGCAGCAGCAACAGCAGCAAAGCAGCAACAGCAGCAACACCAATAGAATGGCTGAAAGCAGCAAAATGTTCTCTTAGAGATATATTTGTATAAAATATATACACCCTTCTTCAGGCGTTCGTATTCCTTTCCGTTTTGCTGCTGCCTGTGTGGGGTTGATGTGTCTATACACCTCAAAATAAAGAATAGTAGAGTCTTGCATGCAAATACATTAACGAATTTGCTGATTATTATGATAGTATATATTATATAATATATATAATATATATAAACTATATTTAGAGACAAAGTATATGTATATACATATATATTAATATATATCCATCTTATTAAATATACTTTCTATATGAAGAAGAGAGAGACTGAGTGACGCATGCAACGCGAACAAAGAAACAAGAAAATATAAAAAATAAAAGATAGAACAACAAAGCAGACGGAAGTCAAACAAAGAACAGAGACAGCCAAAAGAGAAAGAGAGACAGAGAGACAAACAAAACAGAGAAAGCGAAACAAATAAAATGCATGCATGCAAAGAAAATAAAAAGTAAAGACAGACAGATACAAGCAAAAGCAAATAAAGAACAGCAACCAAATAAACAAAACGAAGACAAGAGATGCAAACAGACAAGAGAGACAAACATAGACAAATAGAGACAAATAGAGAGGAGGCACTCAGACAGATAATAAAAAAGATAAATAAACATCATCAAAAAGAAAACAACCGTAAATATTTTAAGAGATCGGATGCGCAAAGCGTCAATTAAGGGGGGCTTGCTGCTGCTATTGTTGCTGTTGTTGCTGCTGCTGTTGCTGCTGCAGCTGCAGCAGCAACAGCAGCAGCAGCAGTAAATCCCCCTCAATTGACTTACTTTTCAGCAGCTGTAGCAGCAGCAGCTGCTGCTGCTGGAGTCTGCGGCTGCTGCAGCAGCTGCTCCAGATGCCGTTCGCTTTTGCTGCTGCAGCAGCTGCACCCCTATGCAGCAGCAGCAGCAGCAACAGCAGCAGCTGCACCGGCAACGCTGCAGCTGTTGCTGCACTAGCAGCAGCAAAAAGAAGCAGCAGAGATGTTGTTGTATGAAAAAGATAAAAGAAACCTCCAATCAGCTTTTGATGTTTTTTATCTTTTGTTCGGCTTCTCCCCGTTTAATTTAAATATATTGTTCTTATCTATAATGCAGCAACAACAAACAAATGCAATAAATATATATTAATAAACAACAACCGAACAGCAAACAAACAAACAAACAAACAAACATATAAACAAATAAATAAATAAAGACACAAACAAACAAACAAACAAACAAAAAATATGCATCATATATATATTATATACATATATATATATATATATATAGTATGTACATATATATATATACTATATATAATGCATATATATATATATATATATATATTATATATGAGGCGTAGAAACTGTGCGAGAGACTGCATGCAAATAATTTTAATTATTTAAAATAAACAAAACTAAAAAATAATAAAAATGAAAATAATAAGAGGATTTATATTTATATTCTTCTCCTCATCCTTAGTAGACTACTTTTATTATTATTATTTATTTATTATTACGAGGCTTTCTTAATATTATTATTATTATTCTTAGTATTAGCATTGTTAATAAAAACATTATTGTTAAGATTATTACAAGTAGTACTTATACTGTTTTATTATTACATGTTATTATTATTCTTTATCATTAATATACACTATGCTTATTATTATTATAATATAATTACTATTAATATATTACTATTATTATTATTATCTATATGTAATAATTATTATTGTCATAGATATTATAATTATTGTTAGGCTTCGTATTCTTATCGACACCACAGCAGTAAAAGTAATAATAAATAATAATAATTACTGATTATATTATGCTTATTATTCTTTTTATAATAATAATAATTATAATTATAATTATAATTATAATAACTTGAGTTAATAAAACAAATTAAATAAATATCTAACCTCTGAAGCAGCAGTTGCTGCAGGGCAAACAGGACAAGAAATGAAGTGGCGGCTTCCTCGACGAGATTCTAACCTCCCAATGCATGCACTGAAAGCAAATAAATAATTAAATAAATTAATATAAATAAATATAAATAAATATAAATATATTTATTTATTTATAATATCGATTTATTTATCAATTAAATGCAGTTCTTTTGATTATCTTCATGCTGCAAATTGTATATTCAAAACCCTCATATTCTTATTTTTAACTCTAAACCCTAAACCCTAATCATAAATAATAAAAACTAAACCCTAACAATACAACCTAGACCTTAAACCCTAAACCCTAAACCCTAAACCCTAAACCCTCATAACAAGGAACTGTTTGCAACTCCTCGCAAACGTGAATAAACATTAAAATCAAATAAACCCTAAAACCCTAATAAACCCTAAACCCTAATATAAACCCTAAACCCTAATAAACCCTAAAAACCTAATAAGCCCTATACCCTCTTACATTAAATCCTCTAAACCCTAAACCCTAAGGCCCTTAACCCTTTGTACATGCCCTTCTACACCCTCCGTCTTAAACCATAATAATAACAATAATAACAATAACAAATAATAACAACAAGAATAACAATAACAATAACAACAAGAATAACAACAACAACAACAACAACAATAATAATAATAATAATAATAATAATAATAATAATAATAATATTAATATTAATCGCTTTAATAATAAATTATTAGGTGCGTGGCGTCTTTACTTGCAAACGACATGCCCGCATGAGAGAAGACGAGGAGGATTGCTGTTGGACGTCTCCTCTTTGCTGACAGCACAAATAATATAAGAATGAAACTGCATGCAGGGGCCCAAGTCAATCTCTAACGGCAGCCGAGCACCTGAAGCACTGCACGAGCAGTCAGCCCCTCCGCATATCAAACAACATAATCTGTCTTCAACAAGTACTGGTAATGTAGATAAACCCCTGCTGCTGCTGCTGCTGCTGCTGCTGCTGCTGCTGGTGATCGCGGTGGTGCTGCTGATGCCCATCGTGGTCGGGGTTGTCGTTGTGCCAGGCCTGCTGCTCCCGCCGCCGCTGCTGCTGCTGCTGCTACTGCTGCTGCTGCTGCTGCTGCTGCCGCTGCTGCTGCTGCCACGGGGGAAAGCCGCTCCTGCACGCAGACCCGAAGAAAATGACCATACCGGTTCTCTCCCCCGCCCAGGAACCCCCCTACCCAGCTGCTGCTGCTGCTGCTGCTGCTGCTGCTGCTGCTGATGCTGTTCTGCAGCACCCCTCCTCTGGGTGCGAGGTGCCCATACACCTGAAGGCTGCCGCAGCCGCTGATCTAAGAGAGGTGGCGGTAGATGAGGAGAAGCAGAAGGGAAGCCTCTTGCTGCTAAAAAAGCAGCAGAACCCCCAAACTCATCCGCAGCTGCAGCTGCAGCAGCAGCTGCTGCAGCACTTGCTGCAGCAGCAGGCCGCAGCAACTGTACCAACTGCAACGCACACCAAATTCAGCAGCACATGCAACAGCAGATGTAGCAGCAATAAATGCAGCAGCAGCAACAGCAACAACAGGAGAAACACCAGCAGCAAAGGAAATACCACAGACACAAACAGCAGCAGCAGCAGCAACCCCAGCATCAGCACCAACAGCAGCAGCAACAGCAGCGCCAACAGCAGCAGCAACAGCAGCAGCGACAGCAGCAGCTACTGTAGCAGTAGCAACAGCAACAGCTGCCGCGGCAACAGCATCAGCATAACCATCAGAGGCAAGATCAGTAGCAACCGCAGCATCAGCATTAACAACAACAGCAACAACAGCAGCAACAGCAACAGCAGCAGCAGCAGCAGCAACAGCAGCAGCAGCAGCAGCAGACCTGCAAGAGCTTCGGCAAGAAGACAGCTCCAGCGCAGAATAAAACTGCGAGAGGACTTTCGGTGGGTAGCGAGATTTGTATGAGCGGTCTATTGCTGCAGCTATGCTGCTGCTGCTGCTGCTGCTGCTCTGAACTGTGTTTGCTGCGCTTACTGCTGCTGCTGCTGCTGCTGCTGCTGCTGGCTTTAAAGGAGCGGCAGCCGCCGCAAACTGAGCAAATGCCGCTGCAGCAGCCTGCAGCAACAAGGCACCCCCTCGGGGTTCCTGCTGCGTCAGCAGCAGCAGCAGCAGCTGCTGCTGCTGCTGCTGCTTCATGCTCTGCGCCCCCACGACATTTGCAGCAGCAGTCCGAGCTACAGCAGCAGCAGCAAATAGGAGGGAACGAGAGCCCCCCAAGAAGCCCAGCCATACCTATTGCATCCATTTGCGTCTCACGGCTTACGCTGCTGCTGCTGCTGTTGCTGCTGCTGCTGTTGTTGCTGCTACTGTTGCTGCTGCTGCTACTGCTGCTGCTACTGCTCCGCACGCTGCTGCTTCGGCGGCGACTCTCCGAGGGGCCGGCACCAAAGGGAGAAGCAGCAGCTGCACCAGCAGCTGCAGCAGCAGCAGCTGCTGCTGCTGCTGCTGCTCCTGCTGCTGCTACAGTAGGAATAAACCTGCCTGCTGCCACTGCACCTCCGCCGGTAGTACCTAAACTCGAAGCAGGAACAGCAGCAGGAACAGCAGCAGGAACAGCAGCAGCAGCAGCAGCAGCAGCAACAGCAGCAGCAGCAACAGCAGCAACAACAGCAGCAGCAGCAAAATGCAATAAACCTTCCAGCCTATGGCGCACTTCTCGTGGAGTTTCAAACGGCAGCAGCAGCTGCGCCATACTGAGCTGGTCGCTGCTGCTGCTGCTGCTACTGCTGCTGTTGCTGCTGCTGTTGTTGTTGCTGCTGCTGCTATTGCTGCTATTGCGTCTATCTCTACAGCTAGTGGTGTTGTTACTATTGCGTCTGTGCGTGCAGCAGCTGCTGCTGCTGTGTTGTTGTTGCTGCTGCTGCTGCTGCTTCTACCTGTTGCTGCTCCTGACGTCCTTAGTGCTGCGCTTGCTGCTGCAGGTCCCTGCGGTGCAGCAATAGGAAAAGCGCTGAAAAGCGGAGATGCTGCTCCTAACCCTATGACGCTTCCCTGCTGCTGCTGCTGCTGCTGCTGCTGCAGCCGCAGCTGCTGCTGCAGCAGCTGTTGCTGCTGCTGCAGAGGTTGCAGCTGCAGTTGTTGCTCCTGCTGAGGCTGCAGCATATGCTGCTGCTGAGGCTGCAGCTGAAGCTGCAGCTGCAGCTGCTGCTGCGGCTGCAGCTGCGGCGGCATCTGCTGCTGCTGTAGCTGCTGCTGCGGCGGCTGAATCTGCTGGATTGCCTCCCCCTCCTCTTCCATCAGGTACTGCTGCTGTTGCTGTACCTGCTGCTGCTGTTGTAGCTGCTGTTGCTGCTGTAGCTGTTGTTGCTGCTGTAGCTGCTGCTGCTGCTGTAGCTGCTGCTGCTGCTGTAGCTGCTGCTGCTGCTGTAGCTGCTGCTGCGCGGGCCCTACTAAGAGAGCCAGCCTCTCCTCAACACTTTCTGCTGCTCTCATCGGCATTGCCTGCTGACCCTCAGCCTGCTGCTGCGGCTGCTGCTGCTGCTGCTGGGGATCTCGGGACTGCAGCCGAAGCAGCTGCAGCCTGCCGAGCCGCTGCTGCTGTTGCTGGCTGTCTGCCTCTTCGCCCCAGACCTGCAGCTGCTGCTGCTGCTGCTGCTCCTGTTGCTGCTGCTGCAGCGGCGGTGTCGACTGCATCTGTGGGTGAGGCTGCTGCGGCACGTGCCACTGGGCAGAAGCCTCCAAATCCCACGGGAACTGCTGCTGCTGCTGCTGCTGCTGCTGCTGCTGTGGCTGCTGCTGTGGCTGCTGCTGCTGCTGTGGCGGCTGTTGCTGCTGCTGCTGCTGTGGCGGCTGCTGTGACTGTTGCTGCTGCAGATTTTGCAGATGCTGGTGGGGCTGTTGCGACTGCTGCTGGGGCTGTTGCGGCTGCTGCTGATGTTGCTGCTGCTGCTGTTGCTGCTGCTGCTGCTGTTGCTGCTGAAAGAGATTGGTAGCGGGGGGCTGGAGGGCGGCAGAGTAGCCATGGGGCAGTTCTTCTTGTTGCTGTCGCTGCTGTTGCTGTTGCTCTGCATGCTGCTGCTGCTGCTGCAGCGGCAGCTGCTGCTGCTGTTGCTGCGCTGGCTGCTGCTGCTGCTGCTGCTGCATACCCTCCACTGTCTCATGTTGCTGCCGCAAAGAAGACGGGGGCGCCGCTAGCCCCGCGTCAGCAGACGCACCAACTAACATTTGCTGCTGCTGTTGCTGCTCCTCCTCTGCTCCTCCCGCTGCTGCTGCTGTTGTTGCTGTTGCTGCTCCTGCTCCTGCTTCTGCAAGCTGCTGCTCTGTCGGCGGCACGGCTCCCACCGCTCTACCTTCTGGGAGCCTCTCCTGCTGTTGCTGCTGCTGTTGCTGCTGTTGCTGCTGCTGCTGCTGCTGCTGCTGCTGCTGCTGCTGCTGAGCCCGCTGCAGGTGGGGATGGTGGCTTGCTGCCATTCGCTGCAATCTCCATAGAGGTCCTTGCTGCTGCAGCAATTCCCTCTCCGGCTGCCGCTGCTGCTGCTGCAGTTGTTGCTGCTGCTGCTGCTGCTCCCTGAAAGCCGGTCTTGGAGCAAATGCCTCTGCATTGTTGAGAGAAGTGTTGGGTGCAGAGCAGCAGCTCAGCTCGCCCGGCCTGCAGCAGCAGCAGCCGCAACAGCAGCAGCAACAGCAGTAGCAACAGCAGTAGCAACAGCAGCAACAGCAGCAACAGCAGCAGCAATAGAGGAATTAAAAGGGGTGGGGGGGCGTCAAAGGCCTCAGTCGGAGCAAAACAACACACACACCCATGAAGCAGCAGCAGCAGCAGCAGCAGCAGAGAGCGTAGACCGGCTGGCAGAGAAAACAGAGAGACAAGCAGGTAGAGACCAGCAGCAGCAGCAGCAGCAACAGCGGCAGCAAAGAGAAAAAACATCCAAAGGCAGCAGCAAATTCAAAGCCAAAGCAAGACAAACGCCAGCAGCTGCATCTTTCTGCTGCTGCGGCTCACATGTCTTGCTGCTGCTGCCGCTGCTGCTGCATGCGCTGAAGCAGCAGCTGCTGCTGCTGCACAATGATGTTGCTTGCCTCTCTAAGGCCCCACTGCACTTCTGCTGCTACGCGCAGCAGCACCTTCCTCTCTTCACCTACTACCCTCCAAGGCCGCGATAGAGGCAGCAAGTGCTGCTGCTGCTGCTGCTGCCGCCGCAGCAAATGTTGCAGCAGCAAACCCAAAAAACGCAACTCCTGCAGCAGCAAGGGCTCAGAAGAACCACAAAACCGTCCTCGCGTCCCTGCTGCTGCTGTTGCCGCTTTTTCTGCTGCTCTTGCTCCTGGTGCTGGTGCTGTCGCTGCTGCTGTTGGTGCTGCTGCTGCTGCTGCTGCTGCTGTTGGCGGTGCTGGCGCTTCTACGGTGCTCGTCGCTAATGTCGTACTATCCAAGGCGTTGGGTGCATAGGGACGCTCAGCTGCTGCTGCAGCTGCTGTTTTATTTGCTGCTGCTGCTTCTGCTGCTGCTGGCGCTGCTGCTGCTGGTGCTGCGGCTTGGGTTGCTGCAGCAGCAGCAGAGGGCGCAGCAACCAAGATCCCGCAGCCTTCGGTTTGCTGTTGCGGCTGCTGCTGCTGCTGCTGCTGGTGTTGCTCTCGCTGCGGCTGCTTCGGCAGAGCAGCAACGGCATCCTCCACCGCAACAGCAGCAGCAACTGCTGCTGCTGCGTTGTTCCTGGAGGGGACGGCTAGCAGCAAAATGTCTCTCAGTGCGCATGCAAGTGCATTCTGCTGCTGCTCTGCTGCTGCTAGGGCCCCAGCCTCCTCCATCAGCAGCCGGTGCCGCTGCTCCCTGTCTTCCCTGCAGCAGCAGCAGCAACAGCAGCAGCAAAGGCAGACCAACCAACTTGCAGCAAAGAACCAGTTAACAGTGGCGTCTGTAGCACTAGCAGCAGCAACAGCAGCAGCAGCAACAACAACAACAGAAGCAGCACAACAGGCTCAACTGTCCCTCGACCCACAGCAGCAGCTGCAGCATGTGCTTCTGCTGCTGCAGCTACAGCAGCAGAAGCAGAAGCAGCTGCTGCAGCAGGTGCAGCAGCAGAAGCAGCAGCAGCTGCTGCAGCAGGTGCAGCAGCAGAAGCAGCAGCAGCTGCAGCAGGTCTTACTTAGCTCTTCTTTTTAAGTGCGAGAGAAGCGAGAGAGCAGCAAAGACATCTCCTCCGCTTATATCTGCAAACGGTAGCTGCAGCGGCTTCCTCTTTGGCAGCTGGCGCAGCTCTACCCCAAAAGGAACCCACGGGCCCTGCGGCAGCAGCAGCAGCTGCTGCTGCTGTTGCTGCTGCTGCTGCTGCTGCTGCTGACGCTGCTGCTGCTGACGCTGCTGCTCCTCCTCCTCCAGCTCCTCTATTTCCTGCTGCTGCAGCGCCGGCAGCATCTCCTGCAGCTGCAATATTCCACAGTACACCAACGCCACGGCATCATTCACAGCCCCATCCCATGCTGCTGCTGCTGCTGCTGCTGCTGCTGCTGCTGGTGCTGGTGCTGCTGCTGATGGTGCTGCTGCTGCTGCTGATGGAACTGGCGTTTCTCCTCGAATGCGGATTTGCTGCTGCTGCGGAGAAGCAGCGGCTGAGTCTCTTGCTGCATCGCAAGCAGCACCCTCTGGAGACCCATCTGCTGCTGCTGGTGCTGCTGCTGCTGCTGCTGGTGTTGCGGCTGCTGCTGAGGGTGGTGCTGTCGTTGCTGCTGCTGCTGTTTCGTCCGGCGTGATAGGGCATGCAAGAGAAGCAGCAGCAATAGCTAAGGCTGAGGTGGCTCTCAAGCGCGCTGCAGCAGCAACAGCAGCAGCTGCTGCAGCAGCATGGGGGTCGCTGGAGCTGCGCAGCGCGGAAGGGACAAATGGAGATCCTTCTGCTGCTGCTGCTTCTGCTGCTGCTGCTGCTGCTGATGCTGCTGCTACTGCTGCTACGGTGGCTGAGTCCCCCCCTGGTGCCTGCGAAGAAAATCTCAAGTATGTCAACAAGCTGTTTGTTGCTGCTTCTTCCTGCTGCTGCAGCAGCGGCAGGTACTGCTGCTGCTGCTGCTGCTGCTGTGGTTCGCTGCGTTCACCGTCGTCACCGTCGCCTGCTGCTGCAGCAGCAGCAACAGCAGCAAGTGCTGTTGGCGTGCTCCAGATGCTGCTGCAGCAGCTTTCGAGAGAAGGAGGCCCTTTATATGACGCAGTTGCTGCTAACAGATCTCGCCTCTGCTGCTGCTGCTGCTGCTGCTGCTGCTGAGGCCCCCCACCCCTCTTACATTCTGCTGCTATATCCTGCAGAGTTTGCGCTGCTGCTGCTGCTGCTGCTGCTGCTGTTCCTGGGGGAGGTCGCTGCAGCAAGGAGACTGCGGGGCCCCTCGAAGGGTACAGGGTTTGCGTCAGCGCGAACTCCAGCAGCTCCAACCAGGACAGGCTGCTGCTGCTGCTGCTGCTGCTGCTGCTGGTGCAGCTGGTGCTGCTGCTGCAGCGGAAGCCTACGCTTCTCCTAAGAGCAGCAGCAACAAGAGCAGCACCCCAATGTGGGCTCAGAAACCCCCCACCCGTGACAGCCAGCAGCACATCGCGGTTCTGCTCTCCCCTCGTGCAGCTGCGGCAGCGCAGCGTTGTGGCTCTCTGCTGCTGCTGCTGCTGCTGCTGCTGCTGCTGCTGCTGGGGGCGGCAGTCTCGCAGCAGCCGCCGCAGTGCTGCCAGCGACCCCCGACGGCCCTCAAATCCGCAAGCCCAAACTGCATCAGCTTCTGCTCTTGCTGCAGCAACTGCTGCTGCTGTTGATGCTGCTGCTGGGGGTGGCGTGCCGCCGGAAGCTGCTGCTGCTGCTGCTGCAGAGGGAAAACCGATGCTGCTGCCGCCGTAGCTGTTGCGGCCCTCGAGAGAACCCGCCTCAGCAGCAGCAGCAGCAGCAGCAGGACCAGGAGCAGCACCAGCAGCAGCTTTCATCGCAGCAGCAGCTGCTGCTAGTCTCTCTCTGTCAACATCCACGCCTCCTGTTCGATCTCTTGACGCAGCAAAGTGTCCCCTCCACCTGCTGCTGCTGTTGCTGCTGCTGTTGCTGCTGCTGCTGCTGCTGCTGCCTGTGAATGTGTAGAAATGGTAGGGAGGCAAAGCCGGTAGAGTTGGGTCCCTGGGGTCCTTAGCACCGGCCTCTTGTCCAGCAGCAGCAGAAGCAGCAGCAGCAGGTGGTGCTGCTGCTGCAGGGCTACTGAAGGGATGTATGGGGGCAGCTGATTCGGTTGCACGGCTGCTGCTGCTGTTGCTGCTGCTACTGCTGCTGCCTTGGGGGACCCCGGCGGGCACGGAGCCTGCTGCAGGTGCCCTTCGGTAGCTGCCACTCTGCTGTTGCTGCTGCTGGTGCTGCTGCTGCAAGGGTCGGCGCCCTAGAGTTCTCAACGCCTCCCTGTATATAATTGCTGCTGTGCGGCCCATCGACCGGGGCCCGGCGCCGAGGTTGCGCAGCTGCTGCCGCTGCTGCTGCTGCTGCTGCTGCTGCTGCGCGTGGTGGTAGTGATGGTGTTGCTGCTGCTGCTGCTGCCTCCTGTGCCGCCGTCTCCGCCCTGGATGCGCACCTCTCGGCGCCCCCGAAGCTGTTGCTGCTGCTGGTGCAGTAGCTGCAGCAGCAGCACTAGCAGCAGCAGCAGCAACAGGCTCCTGGCGACTCTGCATCTGCTGTGAAAACGACCCTGTAGCAGCAGCAGGAGCAGATGCTGCTGCTGCTGCTGCTGCTGCTACACCAGTGGAATGGGGGGCGTGGCGATGAAGTGGGGTGTCGTTCCGTGCTGCTGCTGCTGCTGCTGCCTCTGCTGCCGCTGCTGCTGCTGCTGCTGCTGCTGCTGCTGCTGCTGCTGGCAACTCCGGCAAAGGCAGCCGCACCCCTTCTTTGATGAGGGCTTGCTGCAGCATCTTTTCTGCTTCTCCCCAAGACGCTGCAAACACCAAAGAAGAGTAAGGGCTTCCAACCATTACCTTTGTCAGCGCTTCGGTCCTCCGCTTTCCTGCTGCTGCTGCTGCTGCTGCAGGTGCTGCTGCTCCTGTCTTTGCTGCTGATGCGTCAGGTCCTCCCGCTGCTGCAAGGCCGCTCCCCTTGCATTTCTCTGTCGCTTGAGGGAGGCCGCTCAAATCTGCAGGCGCTGCTGCTGCTGCTGCTGCTGCAGGGGGCTGCCCACCCGCATCAGCAGCAGCAGCAGCAGCAGCAGCAGCAGCAGCAGAGCGAACAAACGCTAAGACACCCATAGCACGTGCAATCTCCGCCTTATGCTGATTCCAGAAAGGCATCAAATGCATTCGGCTGTATTCTAAGGCCTCCGTCAGCGTCTCAGGCTGCAGCAAGGTGAAGAACTGCAGCAGCAAACGCAGCAGCAGCAACAGCAGCAGCAGCATATGCAGCAGTAGCGACGCACGATGCAGCAGCAGCAGGTGCTGCACCAGAAGCACAGGCAGCAGCAGAAACAGATGCAGCAGCAGAAGCAGCAGCAAAGCAGCACCACCAGAAGCAAAGGTAAATACAACACCAGCAGCAGCAACACTGAAAGGGACAGAAAGGAAGCAGCAATAACTACAGCTGCTGCACACGCAGCAACAGCAGCAGCAACAGCAGCAGCAACAGCAGCAGAAGAATATGAGAGCTCCGGCTTTCCGCTCCACACTGCACAGCGTGCATGCACCACATTGAACATTTTAGGGTTTAGGGTTTAGGGTTTAGGGTTTAATACCTTCAGTTTATGCAGCATAAACTCTAGGGGTTGGTGCTGCAGCCGCGACTCTGCATCAAGAGAGGAGACCCAATAAATTGCTGCATCAAGGCCCTTGGCTGGTGCGCTTCCATATCTAGAGCAGCAGCAACTCCCTCCACATCCTGCTGCTGCTGCTGCTGCTGCTGCTGCTGTTGCTGTTGTTGCTGCTGCTGCTGTTGCTGCTGGTGCTCCTGCTGCTGCTGCAGTCCCTGGAGCTGCACCTGCTGCTGCCTCACGCTTCACAGAAGATGAATTGGATGGGGCATCATACTGCTGCAGCCACTGCTGCTGCTGCTGCTGCTGCTGCGGCAGCAGCTTCTGGGATTCTTCAAAGGATATGGCTCCCCACCGCAGCAAATGCTGCACCCGAGCTTCCCTCATAGAATTCAACATCTGCAGCAGCAGCAGCAGCAGCGGCACAAGCAGCAACAATAGAGTAGCAGCAGCAGCAGCAGCAGCAACCACAGCCTCGCCGAGTCAAAGGTGCAGCAATAAGCCAGCAAAAGCCCGCGGGCCCCTCATACAGCTGAAGCAGCAGCAGCAAAAGAACAGCAGCAGCATCAGAAGCAACAGCAACGGCAAAAGCAGCAGCAACAACAGCAGCAGCAGCAGCAGCAGAAACAGCAGCAGCAGCAGCAGAAACAGCAGCAAGTTGAACCCCCACATAATGCATCCTCTTGTAAGCAGCAACCACCGCACACGGCAGCAGCTGCGGGGGTCGCGGTCTTTTCCTGTCGCTGCTGCTGCAGCAGCTGCTGCCGTTGCTGCTGCCGTTGCTGCTGCTGCTGCTGCTGCTTGGTGCAGCGCACTGCTCCCCACAGTGGAGGCAGGCGCAAAACCATTTGCTGCAGCGGCTGCCCTCGTCTCTGCAGGTGTCTCTGCTGCTTGCTGCTGCTGCTGCTGCTGCTGTTGCTGCTGCTGCTGCTGATGCGCTCGACCCCTCCGGCTTAAACACAGCAAGGGTTGTGCTGCTATTTTCCTGCTGCTGCTGCTGCTGTTTGTCCCTGATTGCCTGTTGCTGCTGGTGCTGCTGCTCTTCCTCTCTTTGCAGCGTTTCTTGCCTCTGCTGCCCCCCTTGAAGCTGCCGCTGCTGCTGCTCCTTCTGCTGCTCTGGCTGCTGCTCTTGCTGCTGGTCCTGCTGCTGCTGTTGCTCTTGCTGCCGTAAAGACTGCCCGGCCAACTCCGCGCTGCACAGTAGCAGCACGGCGCAGCAGCAGCAGCAGCAGAACCACTCAGTGCAGCAGCAGCAGCACCGCAACAGCACCAGCGACAGCAGAAACAGCAGCAACGGCAGCAGCAGCAGCAGCAGCAGCCACAGCAGCAGCAGCCACAGCAGCAGCAGCAACAGCAGCAGCAGCAACAGCAGCAGCTGACCAGAGAAGTTCATACAGGCAGAAGTGCCCCTCGTGTAGGAAATGCAAGGCGAGGAGTTTTGCAATAATTAGCTGAGGGCCCCGCACTACGGTGTCTGTATCTGCTGCTGCTGCTGCTGCTGCAGCTGCTGCTGCTGCTGCTTCTGCATCTGCTTCTGGCTCTACTTCTGCTTGGGCTGAGCCGGATTGCTGCTGCTGCTGCAGCTGCTGTTGCTGCTGCAACTGCCCTCTTCCCTCCCTAATGTCTCCATCCGGCTGCTGCGTCGCGAGTTGCATCTGTTGTTGTTGTTGCTGCTGCTGCTGCTGCTGCTGCGGGCGCTGCATCAGCAACGGGACAAGCTGGTCTGCTACTGGGGGCAGGTGAGCAGCAGCAAGGTGAAGGTCTTCTCTAAATGCTGCAGCAGTTTTGTCTATTAGCTGCAGCAGCAGCAAGAACGACTCCTCTTGAAGCCTCCCAATAACATCTTCAATACGCAGCTGCACAACTCGCGACAGCAAATTCTTAACTGCAAAATCCACTGCAGCAGGAGAAGCCTTCTTCATAATGCAACCTGCTGCTGCTGCTGCTGCTGCTGGTGCTGCTGCTTCTGCTGCTGCTGGTGCTGCTGCGGTTTCCGCTGCGCCTGCTGCTGCTCCTCCTGCTGCAGACTTCCGCGCATCATCCTGGGAGGGAACTACATGCTGTTGGTGCTGTTGCTGCTGCTGTTGCTGCTGCTGCTGCGCAGCTGCACCAGCAGCGGCTGCCTCCCATGCAGCAATGCTGCTGCTGCTGCTGCTGCTGCTGCTGCTGTTGCTGCTTCCAGAGGAGCTCGACCCCTCCGGTCTGGTGTACGTGCCATTGTTTGGTGGGCCCCTGCTACTGCTGCTGCTACTATCGCAGGTGCTGCTACCGCTGCTGCTGCTGCTGCTGCTGCTGCTGGTGTCTTCTGATGACGTCTGCGCCTCTTCTATAATTTGCCTCGTGGCCTAATAAAAGCGACAGACGCAGCAGCGCAGCAAACGCAGCAGCAGCAGCAGCAGCAGCAGCAGCAACAGCAACAACAAAGCGGCATGTGGGCCAGTAAAGGAAACCTGCTGAGATACTACGCCTCCAGAAGCAGCAGCAGCAGCAGCAAAAACTGCATCAGCAGCAGCATCATCATCAGCAGCAACAGCAGCAGCACCATCAGCAGCAACAACAGCAGCACCGTCAGCAGCATCAACAACAGCAGCATCATCAGCAGCAGCAACAGCACCATCAGCAGCAGCAACAACAGCACCACCAGCAGAAGCAACTACATCAGAATCAGCAGCAGCAACTACCGCAGCAGCAGCAGCAGCAGCAGCAGCAGCAGCAGCAGCAGGAGTGTTTGCTTTGCCTTGAGGGCCTCAACAAGGGCATCGAGCGTCCTTCCCAAAGTCAGCGTCGCTCTCCTTCTTCTTTTACAGATAAGTGCTGCATCATTTGCTAGAACTAAAAATATATTTCTGCTGTCTTTGTTGTTGTTGCTGCTGCTGCTGCTGCTGCTGCTGCCTCCAGGCCCACTGTCTCCCATTGCAGCAGCAAACGCACGCTTCGGCGCACGGCTCCTCCCGCTGCTGCTGCTGCTGCTGCTGCTGCCCCCGCCGCCGCCGCCG